AAAAAAAAAAAAAGTAGGTAGCGAAGAAGTGCTAGAATTTGGGATTGGGTTGGGATGGCTGGGATGGGAATGCCAGAACTACCTCTGGACGGCCGGGGCAGCAGCGAACGCGGCTGGGACAGCCCCTGTCACCCTGGAGGGGTGGGGAGGGGACCAGCTGCAGCAGGCAGATCTGGGAGCACTCCAGAGCTGCTGCTGCACACCTCCAGGCTGCCAAACCTTGGGCAAAAGTCCTGCAAAAAGTCCTTTTCTGCCCGTGCTTCAGGGTCTCTGCCCTCGTCCTGGCCCAGGAGCGTTCAGGGTTTCCCTGCCGAGGGGGCGGACGCTGCTCCTTGATTTCAGGGGTGGCTTTTGGCCAGCTGGGAGTTGAGGTTGGGCTGGAGAGAGGCTCTCAAAAACTCTGAAACCTCCAGAACCGCTTCCACCGTTTAAAAATTAAGGATTTGCCAGGTCTTCCAGCAGGACTCCACGGTGCCGCGCAGAGAGCGGCCGGGGCCTTCCCATTCCCCTTCCCAAGGCTTCCTTCCCCTGCAGGGTCTTTGGGGTGAGCATGGGATTTCTGGTGCAGCCCTTAGTCCAGTTTAGAGTAACCTCAGGTTGTTTTTAGCGTGAGCAATTCCCAGGATCCAGGTGGAGACTATTTTTTACTGTCCTAGTGCTGGTCCTGCCGAGGACCTGGATCCTGGACTCTGTTTTGTTTCTGTATAAATAATCCATGTGCCCACTTTTTCACCTGATCTCTGTATAGGGCCGGTTTGATTCCTGCAGCAGCCACCCAATTTTGTGAAATAAAAGCAAAAAAAAGCGGTTTTTGTACAAAGCCTGTGGAGTTTGTGAAGTCTCCTTTGCCTTTGTGTGCGGGAAGAGCTGGGAATCGTCTCTGTGATCCGGGGCTGTTTTGGGGCTGAATGTGAACTCCAGAGGAGCAAAAACAGCACCTGAGCTTGGGGGAGGCACAGAAGCCACAGGGGAAGCACAAACCCTTCCCACAGTGGGGGTGTGCTGGGGGGACAGGTCCTGTCAGGGGCTCAGGGCTCAGGGGTGGCTGCAGCAGGGCACAGCTGCAGTCTCATGTTGGAATTTGAGGTATTGATGATTCTGAGATTGTAGAAAGGCTCTGGTTTTTAGCCCTGATGTTAAAGCAGAAGCCATAATTGGTCTGTGCTGTTTCCAGGTTGTTTATTCTGTTGATCTCTCACATGTTCTGCTGCCCTGCCCAGCTCTGTCCTGCAGGGCAGCGTGTGGGGCTCTGCCCTCAGTGGGATGTTACAAACATTAAATACCAGAAACTCCCTGGGCTGGATTTACAAGAACGTGCCAATATCTGTCACCTACGTTGGACAGTGTGTCCCCAGCCTGAACCAACAGAAAAATGCCAACACCACAGTGAGACATGGAGGGCATGAAGAAGGAGAAAAAGGACAAGGCACACCCAATTTCCTCCAGCTTGTCCCCTTTGGACCCCTCATCTAGAATCCTAAATTTGACTTTTGCAGCCGTGCCACACTTAATTATTACTGATATCAAACCCTCAGAGCTGGTAATTGATCCTGTAAGATTGAAAACTCTTTTCCATGGCCAGAGATCACAGCCAGTGTCTCTGGGGGCTCTGTCCAGGGGGTTCCTGGACTCCCACAGCCAGAGGGAAGCTCTGGATTCCCACATTCTCACAGCATCCCTGCTGTTGGGGGCCTGCTGCCCGCTTGGATCACCTGGAGGGCAGCTCTGACGTGCCAGGGTGGGCTGGGGGAGGCTTTGTCCCTCTGCTCTCCCACCCAGCTGCTGTGCCAGGTTCCCTCCTGCTGCCTGTCCCGCTCTCCCCTCCGATCCTGCCAGGCTCCACAGGCTGCCAGCAGGGTTTGTGGTGTTCCTTGAGCTGAAACCAGAATCCAGGCTGGATTTTATTCCAGCCATTCCTGCCGCCTCTGCCTCAGGAGTGGCACCTCTTCCTGGGCATCCTGTAATGCCCACAGTCCTTAATTCCCTAGGAAGGAAAAGCCCAGGGGTAGAGCTGTGTCCCTGGGTTCAGGACGTGCCACGAAAGCCACAATCCCAACTGGGAATTCCTCCTTGGATGGGCTGGATCTCCTGCTGAACATCCTCTGTGGGCTCCGTGGAGCTGCAGGACGGGAAGAAAAGGGAAGGAGCTCTTGGATCTTTGCATTCCAGCAAGGCTTGTCCCAGCACTGGTCATTTCTCCTCGTCCTGAAGATCATTTTCCGGAGGGATCCGCAGGAAGTGGTAAATTATAAATGCCAGATTTGGAAGTTTTCATTTTACAGACTTTGAATCTTCGTGGTCGCAGCAGCTGCCGAGGCCGGGCCGGGCAGAGCTGGAGGGAGGGAGAGAAGAGTGGCTGGGTTTGGGGATCCCAGTTTTGGGAATGCTGGTGGGTGAAGGAGTGGCCAGAGACCCCCCTGTGCCAGAGCTGCTCCAGGCCTGGGAGAGCTGGGAATGTTCCCCTGGAGAGGAGAAGCTCCAGGGAGAGCTCAGAGCCCTGCCAGGGCCTGAAGGGGCTCCAGGAGAGCTGGAGAGGGACTGGGGACAAGGGATGGAGGGACAGGACACAGGGAATGGCTCCCACTGCCAGAGGGCAGGGATGGGTGGGAGATTGGGAATTGGGAATTCCTGGCTGGGATGGAATTCCCAGAGCAGCTGGGGCTGCCCCTGGATTATCCCTGGCAGTGCCCAGGGCCAGGCTGGGCAGGGCTGGGAGCACCCTGGGGCAGTGGGAGGTGGCACTGGGTGGGATTTGGGGTCCCTCCAAACCATCCTGGAGTGTTGGGATCCCCACAGCCGGGCTGGGCATGGGGTGGGGCCGGGGCTGGGAGTGGGATCAGGGATGAATTTCGGGCTGTTCTCTTTCCTGTGTGGTGCAGCAGCTGGAAGGGGGGTTAGGACAGGGCTCCGAGGTGCTCCAAAAGCACTCGGGATCATTTCAATCCGAGATGTCCTTGGGACAAAGGGAATTCATTCCTGCTCAGGGTGAGCTCAGAATTCCCCGTCCCTGCTGCCTGGGAGGGGTTTGCATCTTCATCCCAGGAATGGATCCTGCTGGAGAAGGGAGATCCGGGGATGTTCCTCAGCACTGCTGGAGCTGGCACAGCCTTTGCCCATCCCAAAACCTCCGTGTCCTGCCCCCAATGCCAACTCAGATACCAACCCCACCCCGGCTGCCTGAAAAGCTGCATTTTTGGCCTTTTCTGGCTGATTTCAGGCCCAAAATGCACCTTGGGGCTCAGGGAGAGTTTGAGGTGTCTGAGTGTGCACTGTCCCCTCACTCTGCTTCGTCCAAGGGCCGTGCCAGGTCCCTGCCAGGGCTGTGCCAAGGATGTGCCAAAGGCCATGCCAGGGCCATCCCTGGGGTGCAGGGCTCCATCCCTGGGGTGCACAGCTCCATCAAGGGGTGCAGGGCTCCATCCCTGGGGTGCACAGCTCCATCCCTGGGGTGCAGGGCTCCATCCCTGGGGTACACAGCTCCATCCTGGGGTGCAGGGCTCCAACCCTGGGGTGCAGGACTCCATCCTGGGGTGCAGGGCTCCAACCCTGGGGTGCACAGCTCCATCCTGGGGTGCAGGGCTCAATCTCTGGGGTGCACATCTCCATCCTGGGGTGCACAGCTCAATCCCTGGGATGCAGGGCTCCATCCTGGGGGTGCAGGGCTCCATCCCTGGGGTGCACAGCTCACTCCCTAGGGTGCACAGCTCCATCCTGGGGTGCACAGCTCAATCCCTGGGGTGCACAGCTCCATCCTGGGGTGCAGGGCTCCATCCCTGGGGTGCACAGCTCCATCCCTGGGGTGCAGGGCTCCATCCCTGGGGTGCAGGGCTCCATCCCTGGGTGCACAGCTCCATCCTGGGGTGCAGGGCTCCAGGATATCAGCCTGGCCTGTCCAAAGGGCTGGTGAGAACTCTGGCCATGGACATGTCCAAGATGGGACCCTGGGTGGCTCCAGGCCTGAACAGGGGTCCCAGGGGTCTCTGCCAGTCCCACCGACTTCCCACCGCCAGGAGTTCCTGTGGGTGCTGGAAGCTTCCAGGGGCTGCTGCCCTGCTCAGCCTCCATCCCAGCACCGTCCCCATTCCCAGATCCCATTCCCAGATCTATCCCCCTCCATCCCAGCACCGTCCCCATTCCCATTCCCAGATCCCATTCCCAGATCCCATCCCCTCCATCCCAGCACTGTCCCCATTCCCAGATCCCATTCCCAGATCCCATTCCCAGATCCCATCCCCTCCATCCCAGCACCATCCCCATTCCCAGATCCCATTCCCAGATCCCATTCCCAGATCCCACTCCCTCCATCCCAGCACTTTCCCCATTCCTGGATCCCACCCTCCTTCCCTCGGCCTCTTGCTGCCAGGCTGGGACCCCCCAAACCCCTGGGACCCCCCAAACCCCTGGGACCCCCAAACCCCTGGGACCCCCCAAACCCCTGGGACCCCCAAACCCCTGGGACCCCCCAAACCCCTGGGACCCCCAAACCCCTGGGACCCCCAACCCCGGCATCCTGCATTGGTCTGGGTGGGGTGGGGGGTAAGGGATGTCTGATGAGAGACAGAGCTGGGATGTGAGATTTGGGATATGGGATGTGAGATTTGGGATATGGGATGTGAGATCTGGGACATGGGCTGCCCCGTGCGGAATTTGGGGTACAGGATGTGAGATTTGGGATGTGGGATGTGTGATCTGGGATACAGGATGTGAGATTTGGGATATGGGATGTGAGATTTGGGATATGGGATGTGAGATCTGGGATACAGGATGTGGGATTTGGGACATGGGCTGCCCTGTGCAGGATTTGGGGTACAGGATGTGAGATTTGGGACATGGGCTGCCCTGTGCAGGATTTGGGGTACAGGATGTGGGATTTGGGACATGGGCTGTCCCGTGCGGGATTTGGGGTGCCCGGTGCAGGACCCCGATGCAGGGTGGGCCGTGCCCGCCGCGGGACACGGAGCAGCCAGGGCGGGCACACTCCTGCGGGTGGAGGTGCCAAGGACACGCGGTGACCTTGGCAGGGATCCACGGAGCCCGCGGGGCAGGGACAGCCGAGGAGGAGCCCCGATGGGCCCGGAGCAGCCCGGGCTGTCCCCGGGAGCTGCCCTGGCACCGCCACCCCTGCCCTGCGGCGCCGGGGTCTGCCCGCGGTGCCCGGGGTGCCCGGGGGTGCCCAGGGCCGTGGCCACTCAGGTCCACGCCCTTCTCCTCTCCCGGCTCTTCCCCGGCTCCATCCGGGCGCAGCCCCCTGCCCGTGGGAGGGTGCCCACCGTGCCCACCGTGCCCACGGTGCCCGCGGGACGGGCCACGCGTGACAGAGGCCGTGGCGGCAGCTGGTGGCTACTGGGCCGGTCTGGCAATGCCAGGGGCGCGGGGGGGACAGGGAGGGTCCAGCCCGACCCGGGGGGCTCTGCCGGGGGGCACAGCCCCGCCCGGGCCGGTGCGGGAGCGGGGGTGGGCGCGGGGCGGGACCCCCGCACCAGCTGGGGACGGGGAGGGGGTCCCCGCCCCATGCAGGAGCAGTTTGGGGGGTCAGGCAGGGGTGCCGGCGCTGGGGGATTCCGGGATAGGATCCCCCACTGCTGGGGGGTGCCGGGACGGGTCCCCGGTGTCCCCCCAGGGGCAGCGGTGCCAGGGGGTGCCCTCTGTGCCCTCTGTGCCCCGGGACGCTGGTGCCGGGATGCGTCCCCCGCTGTCCCTCCCCGAGGATGGCTGGGGGCTTCCGGGGGGTGTCCCCCCCGATGCTGGGAGTGCCCAAATGTGCCCCCGGTGCCCCCCGAGGATGCCCGGGCTGGGGGTGCCAGGATGTGCGTCCCTCGGTGTTGGGGGCTGCCGGGACGCGTCCCCGGTGTGCCCCTGCGGGGATGCCGGTGCTGGGGTACCGGGCTGCGCGTTCCCCGGCGCTGGGGTCCCCGCTGCGCCCCCCGGCGCTGCCCGCGGGGTGCCGTGCCCGTGCCCGTGCCCGTGCCCGGAGCCGCCGCCGCGCCCGCGGTCCCGCCCCCGCCGCCCGGCCCGGCCCCCCGGCTCGGCGCGGCTCCGCTCGGCTCGGCGCGGCTCGCTCGGAGCGGGGCGGGCGGAGCCGCTGCCGGTGCCGGCCCCTGGCGGAGCCGGGGTCCCTCCATGCCGCCATGGCCCCCCGCGCCCCCCGCGCCCCCCGCGCCCTGGCCCTGCTGCTGGCGATCGGCGCCCTCGGTGCGTACCGGGACCGGGACCGGGGGCGCGGCGCGGGGGGGCGGATCCCGGCGCGGGGGGATCCCCGGTGGGGGCTGCGGGGCTGGGGGGATCCCCGGCCGGGGCCGGATCCCGCTGCGGGGGCTGCAGCCCCGGGGAAGGTGGATCCCCCCGGCCGGGGCTGGATCCCACTGCGGGGGGGCGATGCTGTGGATCCTGTTGCCGGGGCTGGATCCTCTTTTTGGGGGGGGGGGCGTCTGCAGGAGCCGGGGAAGGGCGGGATCCCCTTGCCGGGGGCCGGATCCCCTTGGAGGAAGGGCGGGATCCCCTCGCCGGGGCCGGGTCCCTGCAGGGCGGCCGGGATCCCCTCGCCGGGGCCGGTCCCTTGCGGCAGCGGCTGGATCCCCGCGTGTGCAGGGGGAGCATCCGCAGGAGCCGGGGAAGGGCTGGAGCCCCTTGCAAGGGGCTGGATTCCATTGCAGGGGGAGTTGGATACCCTTGGAAAGGGGCTGGATACCCTTGCCGGGAGCTGGATCCCCTTGCAGGGGCGGGATCCGGCTCCGTGTATGGGGTGCACTGGCAGGAACCGGAGGAGGGCTGGATCGGCTCGCAGGGGGCTGGATCCCGGTGCGGGGAGGGCTGGATCCCGGTGTGCGCCTGGATGGACGTGCGGGAGGCAGAGAGGGCTGAGCCCCTCGCAAGGGGCCGGATTCCATTGCGGAGGGGCTGATCCCGCCGCAGGGGCCGAGCCCGTTGTGTGTAGCGGCCGCATCCGCAGCAGCCGGAGGGGCCGGATCGCCCCGCACGGCCGGATCCCCCCGCACGGCCGGATCGCCCCGCACGGCCGGATCGCCCCGCACGGCCGGATCCCCCCGCACGGCCGGATCCCCCCGCACGGCCGGATCGCCCCGCACGGCCGGATCCCCCCGCACGGCCGGATCCCATTGCGGGGAGCCGGAGCCCGGGGCGTGTACGGAGTGCACTTACCAGAACCACAGGAGGGCTGCATCTACCTGGGGAGGGGCTGGATCCCCTTAAGGGGGGCTGATTTATTTTGGGGAGGGCTGGCTCCCCTCGCAGGGGGGGCTGGATCCCTTTGCAGGGGGATGGAGCCCCCTGAAGGGCAGCTGAAGGGGCAGGGCCGGGGAAGACTTGGGTTGGGGGAGCTGTGCTGAGGGGGGGCGTCACAGAGTTGGCTGTGGGGGCACCCACAGAGCTGGGGGCTTCTGTGGGGTTCACCCCATCAGACCCCGGGAGAGGCTCAAGGATTCGGGGCGCAGCCCCCCACCCCCAGGTCCTTCGTGCATCCAGGTGGGTGCAGGGCGGAGCAGGTGGGGACCTGTTGGACCCCCCCAGGCTGCCACGTCCTCGCAGGGGTGCGGGGGCACCTCTGACACCTCTTTCTCACCTTGTCCCCCCATCAGCATCCGCGTGGCCCCCCCAAAACTCCAGCGTTGGCGAGGGGAGAGCCTGGGAGGGCTCGTTGGAGAGCAGCCCCCCGAAATGGGACCCGGCGAGTGGAGACGCCCCGGGGGGACCCAGCAACAGCACGAGCGGCGGCGGGGCCGCGGCAGGACCCCAGCTAGAGCCCCCCGGGGGGGACACGGCCACCACGGAGCCGTCGGAGGGCGAGGCCAGCGCCGTGCCCCCCCGAGCCGTCACCTGGCCCGGGGCCGGGGGCACGGTGCCGGTGGCCCTCGGCAGCCCCGAGGAGCCGGGCAGCGGTGATCGGCCCACGCCGGCCGCCCCGCCCGGCCCGGGGGGCTCCGGGGGGCTCCCGGCCGCGCTGCCGAGCCCGCCCGGGCCCCGGCTCGCCACCGGCTCCGCCGACCCCGAGCCGCTGCCGGCGGCCGGGGGCTCGGCCGCGCCGCGCAGCCCCGAGCCCGGCGAGCCCGGCCCCGTGGCCGCCGCCGGGGGGGACTCGGGGGGTCCCCCGGAGCTCCGGGCCGCCGCCCCCAGCCCGGCCCCGGCGCAGGGCGCCCGCGGCTGGACCGACCTGACGTGGCTGCGGGAGCCCGGCACCGCCGCCACCGGCCCGCCCGAGGCGCCGGCCGAGCGGACGGGCTCCGACATCATCGACGTCGACTACTACGAGCTGTTCGAGGGCGGCGAGGGACCGGGGCGCTTCCCCGGGGGCGGCCGGGGCGCGGCGGGCCCGGCGCGGCGGCGGGAGCCCGAGGGGGCGGCCACGCCCTGGGCTCTCCACGAGCTCTACGACGACTTCACGCCCTTCGACGACGCGGATTTCTACCCCACCACCTCCTTCTACGCCGACGGGGACGACGAGGACGAGCTGGAGGACGACGAGGAGGACGACGAGGAGGAAGCCGGGGGCCTGGAGGACGAGAACGGCTACCGGCCGCCCGCCTCGGCCGCGCCCGGCCCGCGGGACCCCCGGCCCACCGGGCACCGCGCCGCGGCCCCGCCGCCGCCGGCCGGGGGCGGCCCCACGGGCTGGCCGCGGCCCGGGGAGCGGGGCCCGCCCGACAACGGCTCCGAGTGCCGGAGCGGCTACGTGCGGCACAACAGCTCCTGCCGCTCCCTCTGCGACCTCGTCCCCAGCTACTGCCACAACGGCGGCCAGTGCTACCTGGTGGAGAGCCACGGGGCCTTCTGCCGGTAAGGGACGGGGCCCGGCGGGCTGGGGCTGTGCGGGCTCGCCATCCCTGACTCACCATCCCCTGCACCCATCCCGGGGCTCTCCATCCCCTGCACCCATCCCGGGGGTCTCCATCCCCTGCACCCACCCCGGGGGTCTCCATCCCCTGCACCCACCCCGGGGTTCTCCATCCCCTGCACCCACCCCGGGGTTCTCCATCCCCTGCACCCATCCCGGGGGTCTCCATCCCCTGCACCCACCCCGGGATTCTCCATGCCTTGCACTCCATCTCCAAGCTCTTCATCCCCTGCACCCCTTGCCCAGGCTCTCCATTCCCATCTATCCCATTCCCAGTCCTCCCAGCCCTTGTACACCCCCACTCTCAGTCTCTCCATCCTCCATGCATCCCATCCCTGGGCTCTTCATCCCCCTGTACCCATCCCTGGGATCTCCACCACCCATGCACGCTATTCCCAGTGCTTCCATCTCCCTGCAACCCATTCCTGGCATCTCCATCCCTTTCACCCCGTTCCTAGTCTGTCCCACCCCAAGTACCTCATTCCTGGGCTCTCCATTCCCTCTCCCATCCCTGGGCTCTCCATCCTCCCGGCCCGGCATTCTCAGGGTTTCCATCCACTGTGTACCCCACTCCCCATCCTCCAAACACCCCGTCCTTGGAGCCTCCCTCTCCACGCACTCCATTCCCAGGCTCTCCATCCTCCCTGAGCTCTCCATTCTCTGTGCTCCATCCCTGGGCTCTCCATCCCCCCAACACCCCATTCCCACTCTTTCCAACTCCTTTTCCATTCCATTCCGAGCCTTCCCGCCCCCTTGGCCCCCCGTTCCCGGGCTCTCCATCCCGTCCCGCCGGCTGCGGGGGGCTTTCCCTGCCCCGCGGGCGGCGGCTGGGCAGGAATTAGGTCAGGGCCATGCAGCCGGGGCTGCGGGGCGGCCGCGCTAATCGGCCCCGGCAGATTGCGCCGGGAGGCGACGCCGGCCGTGCCGCCCGCACCGGTGCCCTGCGGCTGGCACCGGGCCCGCCCGCTCGGGGGGACGCGGGGACCCTCCCGGTGTCCCCATCTCACTCGGGGTCACCCCCCTCGGGACCCGCTCATCATCCCCTCAGACACCCGTAACCCCCCAGGAGCGAACACCGCATCCCCCGAGGATGCTCTGCGGGACGGGGGCACGTTTTGGGGCGGGGGGACGCGTTTTGGGGCGGGGGGACGCCTCTGACCGCGCCCCCCGGCAGGTGCAACACGCAGGACTACACGTGGCACAAGGGCACACGCTGCGAGTCCATCGTCACCGACTTCCAGGTGATGTGCGTGGCCGTGGGCTCGGCCGCGCTCGTGGTGCTGCTGCTCTTCATGCTCACCGTGTTCTTCGCCAAGAAGCTCTACCTGCTCAAGACGGAGAACAGCAAACTGCGCAAGACCAAGTGAGTGCCGGGCCGGGCCCGAGCGGCCCTGCCAGCCCGGGAGCCCCGGGGCCGCGGCTGGGGAAGCTGCCGGAGGCGGCAGACCGCTCCGCGCTAATCCCTTAAAGCTGCTCCTGACTGGCACCGGTTAATCTGCTGAGCTGGGAGCTGCGACACCGGCTGGGCGGCCATCGGGGACGGCCCGGCTTGGGGACAGGGCTGGGGGGCGACAGGGAGGGTTTGGGGTCACCCCCCAGCCCCAGCCGCTGCTGCCCAGCTCCCGCAGCAGGGAGGAGGGAGCCTTCCCAGCCCGGTCCCTAATGAGCTGTTAATTAGTGTTTGGAAATGCCAAGTGTAATTAGCAGGGAAGCTCGGTGCCAGCTCCCGGGTCTCCCTCTCCAGCCCTGCCCCGGGCTGCCCTTCCCGCTCTCCTGCCCAGCCCAGCTATCCCCAAAACCCCAGAGCTGGGGGCACCGAGCCCCCCAAAATGTCACACTGGGCTCCTTTAGCCCCAGCTCAATCCCTGGGGACATTTAGTCCCCAAACCTCCAGAGTTCAGGACATTTAAGCCCGTAGACCTCCATCTCTGGGTATATTAAGTCCCCAAAGCCCCCAGACTTGGAGGCATTTAGCTCCCCAGATCCTCAGAGCTGGGGGTATAAAACCCTAAACCTCCAGAGTAGGGAAAATGGATCCCTCCAAAGCCCTTAGATCTGGGGCTATTTAATCCAGACTTCCATCTCTGGGGTCATCTACCCCTCCAGACCTCCAGCGCTGGGAACAATTACCCACCCCCCCAAAACCAGGGTCACCCCAAAACGTGGGTGGGGCTGTGGGGGGGTCCTGCTCTCACCGCTGCTCTCCTGACCCCGCAGATACCGCACCCCGTCCGAGCTGCACAACGACAACTTCTCCCTGTCCACCATCGCCGAGGGCTCCCACCCCAACGTAAGGAGCCGCGTGGCACCGTCCCCCCGTCCCTCTTCCTGTCCCGTCCTTGTCCCTCTGTCTGGTACCCTCTGAACCCCCCATGATGCCAGGGCTGCCCTGCTGTCCCACCCTGCCGTGGTCACAGCTCTGTCCCATCCTGCCGTGGTCACAGCTCTGTCCCACCCTGCCGTGGTCACAGCTCTGTCCCGTCCTGCCGTGGTCACGGCTCTGTCCCATCCTGCCGTGGCCACAGCTCTGTCCCATCTTGTCATGGTCACGGCTCTGTCCCCTCGCCGATGGGTCCCCGGTGACCTAAACTGGGCCTAGGCCAGGCAGGGGGGCGGTGTCACCCCCTGTCCCTTCCCCGTCCCCTGTGTGGCTCCTCAGGAGCCACATCCCGAGCTCCCGATGGCTCTGGCTCCGTGTGAGGGTGGCAGGGGTGGCCGTGCCAGCTCAGGGAGGGGACAGCGGGGCGGGCGAGGCTCCGTGGCTGTGGCACGGCTGGGCAGGAGCAGCGATGACCCTGGAGGATGGCACGCTCGGGGTGCCCTGCCAACCTGCTGTCTTTCGGCTCGGAACAGAGAGAAGCGAAGGGCTCGGCGGAGCGCGGGCCGGAGGAGGAGCGTAGGTCCCTTTAGCCTTCTTCCCCTGCCCGTGGCCGTGCTCCCCGCTTCCCCAGCGCCTTTAGCAGCCCTGGCAGGAGGCTCCGGGGCCGGCTCCCTCCCCGCTGCCGAGAGGATGAAGCCCGGGATGAGCTCGGTGCCGCTCCCCGGCGGCTCTGCCGCATCCCTCGGCCCCTCCGGAGTCGGAGGGTTTGGCACACGGTGCCTGGGACGCAGCACTCCGAGGATGAGGAGGGGTCAGCGGGGTCAGCACCCCCGGAAAGGGGTTTTTGGGGATCCTGCAGCCCGTGGCACCAGCTCCGGACCGGCCGGACGGCACTGCCCGGGAGATGAGGATCCTGCCCCGGTGTGACGCCGGCCCTTGGTGTCCCCGTCCGGCTGCCGCTCTCGGCGTGGCACCGGGAGCACCGTAACCACCACGGCCAGGGCTCCTCCTGCCCTGCCGTGCCCTGCCGTGCCCTGCCCGCCCCGCGGGACCCTGCGGGCACAGCCGGCGCCCGGCGCCGGTGCCCGCGGGGCCGCTGCTCCCGTGGGTGCGGGACGGACGCGGGCGCAGCCCGGCCCTGGCACGGAGGATGCTCCAGCGGGGACGTCGGGAAGAGGCGAGCCCGGCTTTGCCAGCGGCGCGGGGCACGGGCTGTACGCTGAGGAACCGCAATAAAGCCAACCCCTCTGGGCTCCTGCCAAGCGCCCGGGAGTGCCTGACTGTGGCGGGGACGAGGAGACGCGCCGGGCCGGGAGGAGGAACCGGGCGGGGTGGCCGGGGCGATGTGCCCGAGGCTGGCACGGGCTCCTGGGCTGGCACAGCTCCTGGGCGCTTCGGGAGCCGCAGCACCCCGGGGTGGGGAGGCTGTGCTGGGTCACCGCGGGGGCGTCGGGCGCTGTCCCCGCGCCGCCAGCACCGGGAGGGGACATTTGTCATTTGTCCCGTCCAGCGGCTCTGCACGGGGTCAGGGGGACACGGGAACATCCCCTGGGTCTCGCCCCCAATCCCGGCCCTGCCTGACGCCCCTCTCTCCCGCAGGACGATCCCAGCGCTCCCCACAAGCTGCAGGACTCGCTGAAGTCCTGCCTGAAGGACGAGGAGCCGTTCAACATCCACAACTCGACGTCGCCCAAGCACGAGGGCGGCAAAGGGGAGCAGGACGCGGGGGAGCCCAACTGCCTCCAGAACAACCTGACGTGAGCGGCGGGTCGGGCCGGCGGGGCCGGAGCCGGGCGCCCCCGGCCGCAGCTCTCCCCCGGCCCGCCTCCCTTCCCGCTCCGTGGCATGCTTTGGTGTGGTTTGTACCGAGGAAAACAAAAGTTCCAGTCATAATTCGGCCGTGTCGTGGTGGGGGTGTTTGGTTCGTGCTCCGTGTTTCTCGCTTGGGTTCGTTCCGCGCTGTGATTTCTAAACCTTTGCCGTCCCGCAACTGACTTTTTTTGTACTTTCGCCCCACTTTTTTTGAAATACAGGTAAAAACAACAAAAAAGGAGAGGGAAAAAAAAAAAAAGTAAGATCTTGAAATAAATAAACCTTTTTTTTTTTTTTTAAAGTTAAGCCTCTTGCCGGTGCCAGCAGTCTCCCAGCATGGACATCCATGTCTCCTGACAGAGGTTCAGACCCTGCTTCCACAGGGTCCCATCTGAGCGTCACCCGGGGGTGGTGGGTGCCTGGTCCCCTCCTTGTCACCCTCTCCAGGCACCTTCCTGCCTCTGCCAGGCCAGGAGCGCAGCACATCCTGGCCCTGGGCACGCCTGGGAACAGCTGGGACACCTCAGGACGTCTGGTGGAGGTGCCTGGGCTGCACCAGGGTTTACTCCAGCCCTGTCCCCATAAGGTCACCCCAAACAACGTGGCTGCACTCGGGGTGACAGCTCCCAGCCGCTCCTGCTCCAACAGGCTCCTTCAGTGCAGCTGCCCAGGGTGTCGGTGGGATTTGGGGTGAAACACCCCGGGGTTATCAGCCCCCAGTTTCCATCTGGGTGGAGAAGAACCAGCGCCACTGTCCCAGAGGCTCTGGCAAGGCCAGGCCGGCCCTGTTGCCACCCCTGGGATCGGGCACGGCGCAGGGATCTCTCCCCAGGGACCCCCGGCACACCCAGCACCCTCCCCTCCGGCCGCGGCTCCGTCGTGCTTCCAGCAGGAACAGGATTCTTCTGGAGAGGGATTCACACACGTGCCAGCGCTGCGGGCCCCTGGGAGAGAGGACACGGAGCCATCGATCCCTGCACGGGGATCAATGATCCACTCACACATCGATACATGCACCGGGATCAATGATCCACACACACATTGATACATGCAAAGGGGATCAGTGATCCACACACACATTGATACATGCACCGGGATCAATGATCCACTCACACATTGATACATGCACCGGGATCAATGATCCACTCACACATGGATACATGCACTGGGATCAATGATCCACACACACATTGATACATGCACCGGGATCAATGATCCACTCACACATCGATACATGCACCGGGATCAATGATCCACTCACACATGGATACATGCACTGGGATCAATGATCCACACACACATTGATACATGCACAGGGATCAATGATCCAGACACACATTGATACATGCAAAGGGGATCAATGATCCACACACACATTGATACATGCACTGGGATCAATGATCCACTCACACATTGATACATGCACCGGGATCAATGATCCACACACACATCGATACATGCACTGGGATCAATGATCCACTCACACATTGATACATGCACTGGGATCAATGATCCACTCACACATTGATACATGCACTGGGATCAATGATCCATACACACATCGATCCCCACTTGGAGATCAATGATCCACACACACATTAATCTCCATACCAGGACCAATGATCCACACACACATTGATACATGCACTGGGGATCAATGATCCACTCACACATCGATACATGCAAAGGGGATCAATGATCCACACACACATTGATACATGCACCAGGATCAATGATCCACACACACATTGATCCCCACTTGGAGATCAATGATCCACACACACATTAATCTCCATACCAGGACCAATGATCCACTCACACATTGATACATGCACCGGGATCAATGATCCACACACACATTGATACATGCACCGGGATCAATGATCCACTCACACATTGATACATGCACCGGGATCAATGATCCACACACACATTAATCTCCATACCGGGATCGATGATCCACACACACATCGATCCCCCCACCGGGATCAATGATCCGCACACACATTGATCCCCACTTGGAGATCAATGATCCACACACACATTAATCTCCATACCAGGATTGATGATCCACACACACATCGATCCTGCACCGGGATCAATGATCCGCACACACATTAATCTCCATACCGGGATCGATGATCCACACACACATTGATCCCCATTTAGGGATCAATGATCCACTCACACTTCGATCCCCTCACCGGGGATGCCGCCGGCGCTCTCCGGGCCGGGGGGAGCCAGAGCCGCAGCTCCGTGCGGACCGGGTGTTCCCGGTGACATTCCACGCGGACCGGGTGTTCCCGGTGACATTCCGCGTGGACCGGGTGTTCCCGGTGACATTCCACCCGGACCGGGTGTTCCCGGTGACATTCCACCCAGACCGGGTGTTCCCGGTGACATTCCGCGTGGACCGGGTGTTCCCGGTGACATTCCACCCGGACCGGGTGTTCCCGGTGACATTCCACCCGGGAGCCGCTGAAATTCATTCTCGGGGGATTAAGAACCTGGTGGGATCCCGGCGGGCGCGGCCAGGGCTCACCGCTGTGGAATCCTCAGGATCTTCCCCCGGCCGCAGCATCCACCCCGGCGGGGCTGGGTCTGTGCCACCCCTCCAGCACGGAGCTCAG